GCGTGAGCTGCTGCAGGTACGGAGCTGCCAGCATCCAGGCAGCTGCCGAATGTGGCCCTGCAAGGGCTTGGCTGCACTGTTGCTACAGCTTTTGGGTGAAGTCCTGGAGGGTTTGGGTTTTTAACTGCTTTCAACCACTGCAGCTCTCAGCTTCCACCCCGAGGCAGCTGTGCTGTTCAGCGTGTCAAGAAAGCTTCCAGCTGCCCTTGGAGAGGACCGGTGAGCTCCAGGGGCTGGAAGAGGCTTCACAGCAGGGCTGCGAGCAGCTGATGAGGGCAGAGAGGACCCAGACAGGTCGGGTGCGGGGTGGGCTGCCTCCCGTCTGCTGCCATCCCCACCGGATTGGAGGTTTGGAGCGCAGCATCCAAGGGGATAGGAGCTGAGAAGCCAAATTCTAAGCGTGACTGCCATGACGTCCACAGCTGGCACCACTGGGTGGTACCGGCACCTCCTGCTCTGCCAAAACCCTGCATCCAGGTTCCCTCAAAGCTGGGGAACGTGCTCCCAGCCCCGTTCCGCCTTTCCCCCTCGCTGCACCGGCTCTGGCTGCTCCCCGGGCTCTGGGGGGCTCGAGCTGGCTGGAAGGGGAGTGCGAGAAGCTGCACATGTCCCAACATCGGGCTGCGGCAGGAGGAGGTGCAGCCGCAGAAAAGAATTAACTTCCCTCATGCTTCACCAGGGCTGGGGATTTGAGTCCTTGGCGGCTTATTTGAGCAGCCGGTTACGAGTCATTTGTTAGTCAAACAGCTTTTTGCAAAGGTCCTTTGCAAACGGCTGCCTGTGAAATGGGTATTTTATTTTTTCTTTTTTTTCTCCTCTTTAGTTTGTCTGAGGTGGAGTTGCCAGAGGCTGATGCTTACGGTGACGTGTCTGTGCCCGGTACCCTGGGCAGCCCGAGGAGTTGATATTCCTGACACTCTGATGGCTGGTAAGTGTAAGCCACAATGAGGGGGGAGAGGAGACTTGAATTCTCGTCTCTTTCTCAAAAAAAAAAAAAAAAAAAAAAAGGAGGAATTGCAGTCCTATCAGCTCTGTCTAGCACCCTTCAGCTCCCTTTGTCACGGCTGCAGCCATCACACGGCTGCCGGTGGTTGTACTGGCTGGCACGGTGACATAGCCGGGTGCCGGTGGCCCCCCGCGCTGCTCTGCCAGCTGGATTAATGGCTAACGGGGCAGATGTCTGGAGCGAAAACACACGTCAGGCCTGCTGGCGATGCTCTGGCTGCCAGCCGCTCTTGGCAGCGAGGACGAGCAGAGCCGACCGTGATTGGGGGGGGGGGCAGGGAATTGGTCGCCACAGCCATGGGGCATGAGGATACGAGGTACGGGAATTGGGCTCGTCTTTGGCGTGTACTGGTGAGCGAGGTGCAAGCGGGCTGGGTGCCCCAATCCTCCCGCGATGCCCGGTGCTCGCTCTGCCATATCTCACCCCGGTTTGGCCAGGCTGAGTGTTTTTCTTGGGGCTCACGGGAGCCAGTGACCCCCCAAAAGCCCCTGGAGGTGGTGAGGCAGGGGGGCCCTGGCGCAGCGCTCCGCAGGCAGAGCTGGTTAATGTGTAAGTGGGGAAGCGTGGCTCTGGCTGGGGTAAGGAGAGGCCCTGCCATGGCTCCCGTAGGCGGCAGGGCTGGCTTTGGGACGTCCTGATCCCAGTGGCGTTAGGAGGAAGGTGGAGGCAACAGTTAGAGATGCTCTGCAAGCCCAAGGTGATGCCACCCGTCAGGGGAGATGGATGGTTCCTGGCTGTGCCAGGCAGGGCAGCGATGGGGGGCTCAGACACCCCACTCCTCCCGCTGTTTGGGGCACATGGAACCGGAGCCTGGGGCACCCCTGGGTGCCGGTGCCGATGTCCTGTGCCTCAGCCCCTTGTCCCTCCCTTGCTTGGCTGCAGCCCCACTCACCTGCATCAGCCTTCTCCGGAGACGGGCTGGCTCCCAGTGCAGGGAGCTCCTTCCCTGGTGGCCACACGGGCTGGCTTGTCCTTGTCACCCAGCTCTACCCCAAGTGGCAGCCAGAGAGATCCGTGGGATGACAGCCGGGAAAATGCCACCCTCAGTCCTGGGCACCCCCATGGCCTTGCAGCCGAATAAAATCCAGGGTGCTGGTGCGGAAAGCCTGGCTGGGGGCACAGGGAGCAGACCCCACCACAGGGCACTGCGGTCCCTGCTCTTCCTCCCCAGCTACCTTTGCTCCGTCCTCTTCCCCCCGCAGGGCAGAGGATGGGTGTTGAAATAGATCCGCCTAAATTTAGACAGGCGAAAACCCAGCCAAGAACAACAAGCGGAGGGGGCAGAGGGAGCCCGTGTGTGGCAAGGGGAGAGCAGAGGAGGCGGTGGGACCCCCTGGACCACCCTGGCTGGGTGATGCTACTCATCGGCGCGGGGTCCTGACACTCGTGGGGGTGCAGCATGGGCTGCAGGAGCTTCCTTGGAGCTTCCTTGGAGCTTCCTTGGAGCTTCCTTGGAGCTTCCTTGGAGCTTCCTTGGAGCTTCCTTGGTGTCCTTCCCTGGGTGGTATTGAGCTTCCCCCCCGCACCTCCGTGGAGGAAGTCCCTGTGGAAAAGCACCGTGCTTTTCCCTGTGGGATGGATCCCCTTGGGGAATGCTTTTTTCAAGCAGTGTCTCTCATAGCTTCCCCTCCCTGGGGCACAGCTGAGCCCTGAACACAAACATGGCACGGGCCAAAGGTGACCGGTGTCCCAGGGGTTGGTCGATGAACGGCGGGCCGTGCTGGCTGGGCTCCTGAAAGCCCACCCTCCTGCAAGGGTGCAGAGGGCGGCTGCGCAACCCCGTGTTCCTGCAGCCAGGAGAAACGGTGGGGAAATGTCCGTGTCAGGCTTTTCCAGGGATGGCCTGTCCATGTAGGATCCCTGGCTGGAGGGCAGGGATTGAAAATAGGCCCCTCGGTGCCCCCGGCACCCACAACCCCCT